GGCCTGTGGAAGTATTTTAAGTATTAACTCTTGGTTTTGAATTTTTGGCTGTTGCATATATAGGGTTGTTCTCATTTCTGTAAAAATTCACTGGTACAATGACTTGTAATAATTTCCGGGTTGACGCATATTTCTGTTGTACTACCTTTCACCTTGGCAGGAACAAGCATTGCACACTGATTGGTTATCAGCAAGTTAAAAGAGGTCCATCTGCAACATCGCGTCAGCAGGAGCCACCTTATTCCACAACTCAGAATTGTGAGGACCAACCTTCGGTACTGAATAGTGGTTCTGAATATGAAAGTTCAAGAGCAGGTTTGATAAAAAAGAGGAAGGATCTTCTTGATCCTCCAGTGAAACTACAACACGCCAAAAGGCACATGGGATTTTGTGGAACTGATGATGTCCAGGACATTAGTGAACAGGTTTACTTCTACATTCTCATATTTGGGTCTCAAAACATATCTCTGTTTCCTTTCACTAGGTTAATGTTGGATGTTTATTACCATTCCTTGGTGTATTTTTTTGGTAGCCTGAAAATAGCGTTGAGGACATGATGCAAGGTTCACAGAAGATACTTCTGATGCAGGAAAACAAAAAACTTCGGTTACGGTAAGTACAAAGCAATATGGTTGCTCATCATTTGTGTAATTATCCACACATTTTAATTGTTTTGGAATTTCTCATGTGTCCTGTCGCTTCCAGGCTGCTTTCATTGGATCAAACGGTGCAAGAACTTAATTTGAAGGTCTCTCTATCTCTCCCCCTCTGTGTGCGAAAAAGATAAACATCAGGTTTTGACCTGATTTAGTAGTTAATATAGTTAAGTCTTTTAATGAACATGATATTACAATTGGTGCAGGTGCAACAACTTAAGGATGAACTAGAGAATGTACTGCTCGCTCTCTCTCTCTCTTTCCTAAAAAAAAAACTGATATCAGATTTTTACCTGATCTGGTAGTTGACATAGTTAGTCTTTAATCAAGATGAAGTTATAATTGGTGCAGGTGCAACAACAGAATGAACTGAGGCAGACGCTGCTTGAATCATACCCATTGAATAAATACGAGCAGCACGTTTGCTAACTAGCTCTCTCTCTCTGTTGGGTCCCACTTCTACTGCTTGAATCTTTGTGACGGGAAGCGAGGATGATGGAGGATCATTCCTCCCTCGTTCTTGGCTTTCAATCTTCAGGAAAACAAGACAATATTGGAGTGACTAACTAGCTAAGCTAGACAGATCTCAACTGTAACCCCTCAGGTGTCCACGAGTTCACTCACATAAACGGGTGGGTGACTGTGAGACGTTGACTGAACAAAAGACGATCGTTCGTCAAAGGCCAGTCGCCCATGTGCGCGTGACATGCTAACACTGCTCATTTGTTTAATTA